AAAGGGATCAAAGTGGGGCTGGTGATATTAAGGAAAAGGACCCGAGGTAAACTCTGAGAAGGAGAAAGGATTTGGAAAGGGCTGGAGAGATGTCTCAGCAGTTAAGAGCATTGCCTGCTCTTCCAAAGGTCCTGAGTTCAATTCCCAGCAACCACATGGCGGCTCACAACCATCTGTAATGAGGTCTGGTGCCCTCTTCTGGCCTGCAGACATACATGCAGACAGAACACTGTATACATAATAAATAAATAAAAATAAATAAATAAATAATATTTGGAAGAAAGACTGGGAATTCTTGAGGTAGGGTCGTGGTGGCACTAGGAGAGAAATATATAAATACTTTATAGAGAGGAATACTTTATACAGCACCCCATTGTATAAAGAAAGAAATAATAAAAAGAGGAGTAGCTTGTGGGGCACACAGTGGGCTCATCAGGATACATAGGTGGTGGCACCCAGTCTGGCAGGATGAAGTGATGACATAGACCTCCTCCACCTGGCCCTCGGCACGGTTCTTTCTTCTTTTACACTAGGTTCTCCCTTAGGATCACACTGTTCTAATACAGCTAACGCCAGTCACTCACGCTCTACCAAGTCCTGGAAAATTCCTAGCAAGGCTGCAATAAATCCTCCAGGATTAGATCTACTGTTACGGAAGGTTTTCCTACTTGCACTGAAACTCCAGTTTTCTGTGCTTTTTTTCTAGTTGTCTTGAAGATACCTGAAGAAGAGGGGGAATGCAGGTACAGAACATACAGATAGGAAACATCCGTGCTGCCCAGGATGGTGCATCTTTGCTTAGAGACCACTGCTATTATCTGCTTCCAGAATCGTCCACACCACTGGTCGAGCAGCTCAGATTTTAAGGAATACATTTGTGTTTATGAGAAATGGAGGACTCTGTGGCTCCTCTGCACTTGGTGGGAGGGGGACACACTGCCTGGCTGCGTGTACCCAGAGCCTCATGAATGCTAAGCATAGTTTTATACTGTTCTGGTTTAAACATTCACTACTAAGATGGAGCTATGAAATCTTTTTAATGTATCCAAATTAAACTTCAAAAACACAACTTTAAAATGATTGCCAGTCTGATTTTTAAACTATATATAATTTTTTCATATAACTCCATCACAAACTACATACCAGTGGCCCCAACTTGTTGACTTAATGACTTTTTTTTTTACTTGATGGGTATAAAATTGACATGTATTCCATAGAAATCAGACTTTGAATTTGCTCTCTCCCTCTGTGCCGGGCAAAGCAACAAGCTATGGCTCCCCAGGAGTCGTGGGCTCATGGCTGATGAGATGATAAGCTAGATACGTCTAAAGAAACTGAGCCATTAAAGTAGAAACATTAATAAACAAGATAAAGGTCATTATGCCAACAGTCAGAAAAGAGAAAAACCTAAGAGGCAATATCTGAAAAAATAATGGGCTTCAAGCAATGACAAACAAATTGATTCTAACCAACCTTTCCACGAAGCAAAGGAGAGGGGGGCGAGGGAGGGAAAAACAATCTGTAAATCCCCCTGAGCAGCACCAAGAATGAATGAGTTCCAACACAGGAGAGGCTGGAGGCCCTGGGAGGTCAGCCTGTGCATTCCACAATACCTGGACTCACTCTTCTCATGCATGTGACTAGGATTCTGAGGGACGACCCCTGTTACTGTGGGTGGAAGGCTCTGAAGCTCCACCTAAAGATGGTAGTGTGCAAAGGCCATCAGTGCCTCAGCCAAGGGCAGACTCGGATTGGAAGGGAGGTCATCCAGACTTCCAGGGTCTCTAGGCACCTGGCAGAAGCACACACATATCCCTACCTAGAGAGAAACAGTCCCCAAAATCTAAAATAACTGTCACATAATAACATTTAAAATAACAATGGTATTATGTAACATTTGGCACATAATAAATAAAAATAACTCAGGTAGGAAGACAATACAAGTGAAAAATAGAAAAAAAAGTAACACAAAAATCATCATATAAAATCCAGATATTAGGCTGAAACACAAATGAATATAAAGAATGAAGTTTATCATAATCAAGAAATAAGAAACAATGATGAAATATTTGGCAGAAAACAGAATTTTTTTATGCTTTCAAATATCTGACAGATTCGCAAACTAAAAAGAAAGTCATTAAAATTAACACTGAAAGGTAAACATAGGTTAGACAGTCGTCTCGAAAATAAATACCTAGAAAATATACTAAAGGAAAAAATAGAACAAAGTCCAAAGAGAAAACAGCAAACTGACAAAAGACGGTGAGAGAAAATATGACAGATATAAGAAAGAACACTATACATAATTTAGAGTTTCACAGAGGGGGAGACGCTGTGAAGAACATGAAAATGAAATGAGAAATGTAAGCACGCATTATCAAACAACCTACACAAAAACACCAGCGGGATGGATCCAGCACCTGTGCTGACTGCTGCCACTGCTCCTTGTGGGTTTCACTCAGTCCCACACACAGACACCTGCACTCTTGGTTCTCAAACTGCAGTTAAAACTCTCATCTTTTAAAATAAATAAAATAAATAAATCCTCAGGAAATATTCACTGAAGGAACAAAATCCTATACTCCGATTGTCCCTAGCATATATGGGAGTTTTATAATCTACGATATCAGGAAACATTAGGACAAAAATATTGACTATATATCTGAAGATGAAAGGAAGTTAAGATTAACTAATTATTGAATTTAATTTCTAATTTTGAAGAATTATGGGTAAAAAGTATGAAAGATTCAATTAAAATAAGTGGTTAGGTAATCTATATATCAAAGGAACGCCCTAGCCTAAGCAATAAATACGCCCACATTCAATAAAATGCCTAAACCTTGAAGGATTTAATGACTACATGCTCGGATATACAAGAACAAAATTCAAATAATCAGATCCTTTCTTGTGTCCAGTACAAGGACACCAATTTTAGGTTTCTGGAGAGCCAAGTTCTTACCAGATCTCAGCATTAGTAACGATGTGATATTATATTCTGACATCCAATGTCAGGTGTAGGCATATTGATCTGAAAATTACCAAGCCCTTTCTCTTCTCAGTTCATCCCCCTGCATTTGCTAGTTCTGGCTGGCTCTTCCATTCACGCTTCCTCCCTCTCGCATGCCCACCCCTCTTTTAGCAGTACTAGGGAGTAAATCTGGAGGGTGGCCCCAGTCCTTCTCTATGTCTTCTGATAAACTGTCTAGCTATTCTTCCTCTTTCTGTGTAACTGGTGGGGATTCAAACTGCAGCTCCAGGATTCCAAGTGTGCCCAACACTTTTTAGGTCCACTCTGAAGATTATTCTGAAGTCCTCCTGGCTGTGACGCACTTTTTCATAAAACTGAGCCACCTCCCCAGTCCAGACTCACAGTTTTTAATCCCCACGTAAGGTGATTTTTATTACTACATTTTTAAAACTGTTTTTTGAACTGATTTGTGTTGTATAAGCCTGGAACTGGCTGAGTTCCTGGATTAGGCCATGATAAGAAGTTACTTAGTCACAACGAGTAACAATTTCTAGCAAGGGTTTTAGATTGCAGGATTGGGCCTTAGAGAGTACAAGATTAACTTAATCCACAACTCTATTTTTAAAATGATTTTAGGATTCTGGGCCTTTTTAAATTTTGAATATCTTTAAATAATTTTCTACCAAATGGAAAAAATATCTAACATGATAACATGAACATATTATGGATCTAGGGAAAGCCTAAAATGCTTGTATACAAATGGCAGCAAAAAAAAAAAAAAAAAAAAGGAAAGCCTAAAATGTAACCTGGCTTTGACACTGTAGGAGCCAGCCATGATAAGCTAAATGTGAACAGATCACTCAAAGGAAGTTCTTTACTTCCAACCATTATCACCTGCCAGAGTAGGACTCAACCATCCTTAAGTTTAATGGAGGCCTGAGTCTCAGTAATTTACCCTGAAGCAATACCCAGTTGCAGAAAGAACCATAAACTAAGATTATCTGAGCACCACCCAAGAACAGACCATCCAAAGGAAATGCCTAACGTTCCAACCACTGTAGATAGGATCACCTGCCAGCACACACTCACCAGGACATCCCTAGACAAATGTCAGCCAATCAGGGGCCCCACACCTCAGAAACCCCTCACCCCCACCTTTACTGCTATAAAACCCAACTCTAACTGAGCTCAGGGGTCTCCGTTTATTCCAATACATGGACATGCGGGGAGACCGAGTTTGCAAACTTGCATAAAATAAAGGCTCTTTGCTTTTACATACAGGACTCGGTCTCCTTGTTGGCTTTTGGGGGACTTCGTGGATTTGGGCATAGCAGACACACCCCTACTTTCTCACTAATTCACAGGATTTTTGCTACCATAACATGTAAATAACATCATTTTACAAATGTATAAACTCAACATAAATCTATAGAGAGAGAAAGCAAGAGAATTTATTCATCCAATGGTCAACAAAACGACCTTGAGAAGAAGCAGGAACTCCTGGCTCCTGGAACAGAACCGTTCCTCCACAGTCCATCCTTTAGGATTTGTTTGGCTTGGTGTGGCTTTGTTCTTTACAGCAGAGGAAATCCTTTCCATTTTAATTTCAATACACTAAAGTGGTCTCTTGCTCCTGCTGTAAAGTCTACCATACAATAGTCAAATTGAAAAAGTCTGAAACAGATTCCTAGGTGTTTATGAGAAAATTTCAGCCTAAAGGTATTTGGTGTTAAAGAATGATTAGCCTGAAAGTCAACCAGAAAGCCACACCGGCATGGTCAAAGCTGAAGCATTTCTTAATTCTTAGAGAGTGACCGGATCTGCTGAAGTGTCAATCACTTTACCAGACAGTTATGACTCAAGCGGGTGATTCCCCATCTATTACAGAGCTCCGTCTGTGGCACGCCAGAGGACAGCGGGGACCCAACAGAACCTCGGCTGTGGCTCTAAGCTGACAAGTTAGCAAGGCCGTGTGGAAATGGGGCGAGGAGGAGATGGGCATGATTTAAAAGTGAGCGTGTGAGGTACTAGCCTGTCATAGGCGGCGATCATGAAGTTGAGGAGGAGGCTGATGGACTGCCCCACGCTGATTTGGTAGGTGGAAGGAAGGCGCTTGTTCAGCTGATAGTAGATGGAGGAGATGACGGTCTCGAGGCGGGACACGCTGATCTCAGTGCTATGGTCCAGTGTGTTAAGGCCATTGTCTCGGAAAGCTTCAATCATGTTCCAGATATCAACAAGATGAACTAAACCAAAGAAAATAAACTGTCAACAATTTTAAGGCACAGTGTCACCCCACAAGTGGACATTTAAACTAATCAACTAATTTTTTAAGCTAAAAATAAAGAAACTCAGCTGGGAGTGGTGGTGCACACCTTTAATCCTAGCACTTAGGAGGCAGAGGCAGGTGGATCTCTGTGAGTTGGAGGTCAGTCTGTTCTACAAAGCATGTGCCAGAACAAGGCAGGGCTACATAGAAAAATGCTAATGGAAGGAAGGAAGGAAGGAAGGAAGGGAGGGAGGGAGGGAGGGAGGGAGGGAGGGAGGAAGGAAGGAAGGAAGGAAGGAAGGAAGGAAGGAAGGAAGGGAGGAAGGAAGGAAGGAAGGAAGCAAGGAAGCAAGGAAGGAAGGAAGTCTTTAGCCAATACCGAGAAACCCATTCAATGACAGGATACAGAATGTTCTCTGTGGACATCAAGGAGTTGCCCTGGAACAGGGCTGACCCTGAGACTTCATTCAAGTAACTGGTGTTTCAGGTCTTTATAAATAGTGACCTTGTTACTTTCGTCAGTTGATGATATGAAAGGAAAAATAAATCAAGAATTACTCATAAGAACCTTCCTCTTTTAAAACACAATTTTGCTACATTTATTTAAGTGTAGGGCTATTAATAGGCAGTTGGGTAGATGTGTACACATCACAGCACACATACAGAGGTCAAAGGACGATGTTTAAGCATTGCTTCTCTCCTTCCGCCCTGTGGATTCTGGGGATTCAACTCAAGTCATCCATCAGGCTTGGTGACAAGTGCCTTTAACCATTGAGACAGCCCAATTTTCAGCTTGTTTAGCAATTTGCTACATCATCCTGAATCCTTTATTATATTAGTCTGGCAACTTCAGGAACATTTATATCTCAAAATTTACTTTCTATGGCCAAGAAACTGGAAGTGATAGATGATCAGAGAGTAAGAGCACTTATTGCGCGAACAAGAGGACCTGAGTTCAAATCCCAAGCACCCATGTAAAAGGCCAGGTATGTGACAACCAGGTGTATGCTCCTGGCCAGGTCCTGCACAGCTTGTACCAGGGTCTAGCCAGACAAAGACTATTACAGAAAACTACAACCAATCAAACTGTAGAGAAGAGCAAGGGATCGTGTGTGGCAGTCACAACTGATACACCTACAACATAACTCCTCCATCTAAGGCTCAGAGAACAGCACAGAAGAGGGGGTGGAAAGTCTACAAGAGTCAGAGGACCAGGAAATCTGCTATGAGATGTGTTTTCTAGCTAGGACAGGAAGCTACACCATAAAGTCTCAACAACATGGCCACCCAAACAAGACCTCAACAAGGACAACACCAACAGACATGCCGACATGGAAGAAAAACATTTTATGGCGCCTGAACCCTGGACAAAGAACTATAGACAACTAAGGAATACTGAAACAGGAGAAACTGTCCCAAGGAACGAGGCCCCAGATTGGTTATCTGACACCAAGTAGTCAGCTCTGAGACATATAAACACAAGAAATATACAGACTGAGCAAATTGTATTTACATATTTAGGAATACACACACACATGCAGACAACCACAACAACAATAATTAAAGAAAATGAGACCATAAATTCGAGAGACAGCAGGAGGGTCCATGGGAAAAATCAGAGAAAGGAAAGGGTGGGGGGGAACAAACCCAATGAAGAATATATGTATATACATGTTTTGTCTGCATGTATGCCTGTGCATGAAGAGCTTGCAGTGTCTACAGACACCAAAGGACAGAAGGGGAAGTCCAATCCCCTAGAACTGAACCTACAGACAGTTGTGAGCCATCATGTGGGTACTGGCTGGAAGGACATCAAGTGATTTTAACTACTGAGCCATCTCTACACCCACAGCGGGACTTATTGTAAAGCTATAATGACGGCTATCAGTTGATGATCTTCCTGGATTCCCCAGGGAACACAGAAGGTTGTCCATGGATCTTCTCACAACACTACTAGGAACCATCTTCTACTCTTTTTCTTTTTTAAAAACATTTGATATCTGTACTTTCATTGAATGTATGTTTTGCCTTCATTCAATACATTGAATAAATGTATGTTTAGTCACCACATGTGTGCCTGGTCCCTGTGGAAGTTAGAAGAGGACATCAGAGCCCTCGAACAGGAGCTACAGGTGGCTGGGTAGCCACTGTGTGGGTGCTGGGAGTTGAACACGGGCCCTCTGCAAGAGCAGCCAGTGCTCTTAACCACTGAGTCCTCTCTCCAGCCCCTATACATGTCTCCTAACAAATGAATGCAGCTCTTCGGCAGTAAAGAAAAGGGTGACTTTTCAATAAGGAGTATAAAGGCAATAGAAACAGACACAGATAACACTGAAAGTTAATTCCATTTATGCTGTACACCCACACACAGAAAAACTCACAATAGAATGTACAGTACTTGGACAAGGAAAAGAACAACATTTTTAGAACATTACTATGGTGATTTGAATAAGAATGGACCCATAGGCTCATATACTTGAATGCTTGGTCCCAGGTTGGTAGAACTATTTGGAAAGAGGTTTAGCCTTGTTGGAGGAGGTATGTCACTGGAGGTGGACTTTGATGTTTCAAACACCCATGTCATTCCCAGTTAGATCTCTCTGTCCCATGCTCACAGATCAAGATGTTAGCTCTCAGTACTACTCCAGCATCATGTTTGCCAGTCTGCTGCCATGTTCACCACTGTGATAGACACAGACATGCCTTAAAACTGTGAACCTCCAATAAACTGTTTCTTCTATAAATTGGTTTGGTCATGGTATCTTAGCACAGCCACACCTACACACATCACACTCTCCAACAATATTTATGGGAAAAATTACAGAACCTTTCAAACAGTGGCTCTAAGACAGCAGTTTTCAAACACTCTGGCCACAACCCACACTCACCACAGACAGACAGACAGATAGATACATGCATGCATACATACATATGGAGTTAGATAGATAGATAGATAGATAGATAGATAGATAGATAGATAGATAGACAGACAGACAGACAATCACACTATGTAGTCCTGGCTGTCTCAGAACTCATTTGTAGTTTGTAGACCAGGCTGGTTTTGAACTCACAGAGCTCTACCTGCCTCTGCTGCCCCAGTGCTGGGATTAAAGGAATGCACCACCACCACTCAGAAATATTTAATCTCAGTCTCCCTCTCTCCCTCTTACTCATGCACATGCACACACATATCTAGATACACAAGTCTCAAAAGCACCTTTTTATATATTCATTCATTCATTCATTTATTATGTATACAATATTCTGTCTGTGTGTATGCCTGCAGGCCAGCAGAGGGCACCAGACCTCATTACAGACGGTTGTGAGTCACCATGTGGTTGCTGGGAATTGAACTCAGGACCTTTGGAAGAGCAGGCAATGCTCTTAACCTCTGAGCCATCTCTCCAGCCCCTCAAAAGCACTTTTTTAAACCTCCCTAGCCACACTCTGATAGCTTCTTTTTCTCTAGTCTTTCACATTATACACTTTATATTAGTTACAGCCCATCAAAGTGACTTCATGAAGCACTAATGGGCCAGCATCCAAAATCTGAAAATTAATGCTTTAGAAATGACAATTAAAGAAACATGGCTGTAATCCAAGAGGCCATGACAAGCTCTAGGAATTTAGGATTTATAATTTTTTCTTTCTTTCTTTCTTTCTTTCTTTCTTTCTTTCTTTCTTTCTTTTTAATTGAGACAGGGTCTCATTACGTAGCCCTAGCTAGCATGGAACTTGATATGTAGACCAAGTTGGTCCTTGAGTTCACAGAGATCTGCCTGCCTCTAAAATGTGCACCACCACACCCAGAACCTGGCAGGATATTCAATTCTTTTCTTTTTATTTATTTGTTTGTTTATGTATATAGGTATTTTATCTGCATGGACATCTGCACACCAGAGGGGATCAGATCCTACAGGATCTGATGTTATAGACATTTGTGAGCCACCATGCTGGGAATTGATCTCAGGACCTCTGGAAAAGCTCTTAACCACTGGCCATCTCTCCACTCACCCAACCCCCCTTTTTGAGGGGAGGGAGGAAGATTTTCAAGACAGGGTTTCTCTGTAGCTTTTGGAGCCTGTCCTGGAACTTCCTCTGTAGACCAGGCTAGAACTCACAGAGATCCGCCTGCCTCTGCCTCCCGAGTACTGGGATTAGAGGTGTGTGCCACTGCCACCACCTGGCTCCACCCACCCCCTTTTAAAAGATTTACTTATTTATGTATGTAAGAAGGATGTTTAAGTCTTACACATGACAGAAGTTATCAAATGTAAAATGACTTGTTAGAGTCACTTGCTTTTATTTTTGTTTCTTTAGAAATAGGTGACATTGATTTTTTAATATTTATTTATTTTATGTACATTAATGCTGTCTTCATGCACACCAGAAAAGGAAATCAAATCTCATTACAGATGGTTGTGAGCCACCATGTGGTCGCTGGGAATTGAACTCAGGACCTCTGGAAGAGCAGCCACTGCTCTTAACTGTTGAGCCATTTCTCCAGCCTGAGTCATTTGTTTTTAACGAACAGTAAAACTCAGTCTTTTAAAACAGATTTTCCAGGCTGGAGAGACAGCTCCATGATTAAGGGTGCTGGCTGCTCTTTCAGAGGACCCACATTCAATTCCCAGTACCCACATGACAGCTCACATCAGGTATGCCTTAGACCCGAGACAAGTCCTCCTTTTTTGTAATTCCAGTTCTGAGAGATCTGACATCCTCACACAGAGGCATACATGCAGACAAAACACCAATACACATAAAATAAAAATAATTTTAAAAAAACAAAAAAAGGTTTTCCAATTCTTAGGCTAATGTTCTCTCCATTATATAAACAAGTTTCTCATTAACACATGTACGTGCATGCACAGCAATTCTGGAACAATTCACCTTCACAGACAGTGAAAGAATATTCATGCATCCATATATTTGTACATATTTTATAATCCACATGATAGCCATTACTTATTAAAAGAAGTTAATTTGTATTATACAAAATTCGATCAAGAAAATCAAATTTCACTGTATTTGTATCAAAACACCAAGGCCTTTCTTTCAGAAGCTAGTAACTATATTAATTTTGAACAAATGACTTTCTCCTATTTAAATAGCATGACTACTCTGTCCCCTCAGAACTTGTAAGTAATTCCAAGTCCTAATAACTGGAGCTGATTCCACAGCTCAGCGAAAAAGGTCAGGGCAGGCTCCACAGCTCAGCAAGTAAAGGCAAATGTGCAAACCTTGAGAATCTGAGTTTGGAATCTGGAACCCACATGGTGGAAAGAAAGAAATGATTCCTAGAAGTTGTCTTCTGCCCTCCGTGAACTACAGCATGAACACACACACACACACACACACACACACAGAGGCACATACAGAGAGACATATAAAATAAATAAAAATGTAATAAAAAACAGATTCCAGCAACATTACTTATAATATCAATTTTATTGAGCATTTTAAGAGAAACAGGAATATATCGACAAATGCATTCCATTTACAAAGCTTGTATTCTGATAAATATTCAAGATAAAGAGAATTAATTGGGGCTGGAGAGTTGGGTCAGTGGTTAAGAGCACTTACTGCTCTTCCATAGGACCCAGGTTCAAATCCCAGCACCCATGTCAGGTGGCTCACAGCTGCCACTAACCCCAGCTCTAAGGGATCCTATGCCTCTGGCTGCTGTGGAATAATCTTTTTGTACACTGTGAAGATGTGTCTTTGCCAAGGCACCTTCTGATTGGTTTAGCAAAAGGCTAAATGGCCAATAGTTAGGAAAGCAGAGGTAGGCAGGAGAGCCAGACAGGGAGAACAATAGGAAGAAGAGGACTGGAGTTGCCAGCCAGACACAGAGAAAGCAGAAGATAAATATGCCATGCTGTAAAAGGTACCACCATGTGGTAGAACATAGATAAGAAATAGGGGTTATTTTAAGTTATAAGAGCTAGTCAGTAATAAGCCTAAACTACCAGTTGAACATTTATAATTAATAATAAGTCTCTATGCGGTTATTTGGGAGCCAGCTAGTGGGACAGAGCTGAATGGCAGAACAGAAAAGCTCCACCTACATCTGGCCTCTGGGGGCATCTGTACTTGTGTGCACGAACTCAGATGCAGACATACACTTATACACATAATTTAAGAATAATAAAGATAAATTCTTTACAAAAAGACAAACAGAGTTCAACTAACCTTATGGTATGGTTGGAAGATATCAAAATTATTTCATAACCTCAGGAAACCCAGCTGCCCATCAAAGAAATAAGAAAGGACTTACGGTTGCATCGCTTCTGTACAAATCGTAACTTGCAAGCTGTTCTGTACGTTGACAGTCGTATGACATCAAAATTCTGAGCACCTAGGAAGAGGACACAGTAAAAAGCTGAGCTGTGTTGAGCAGTTCGTTGCTGTACAGTAGAAGTGGGGTTCCACTGTGATATACACAGAGAGGAAAGAAACAATGTGCCTGTGCACACAACATACCAAGACACTACCAGTTTTGTCTCAGGCTACACACGAGAACTCCGAGAAGAGGAACACTCGATGTCTTTAGTCAGTGAGCGGCGGGATTAGTAAGGGACAGCAGAGGGTAACGCAGAAAACGGTGGAGTCAAGAAAGTAAACTCCAACACTCGGGAGACAGAGGCAAACGGATCTCTGTGAGTTCGAGGCCAGCCTGGTCTACAAGAGCTAGTTCTAGGACAGGCTCCAAATCTGCAGAGAAAGCCTGTCTCGAAAAACCAAAAAAAAAAAATCAAAGAAGAATATCTCAGTCACAATCAAGTAAAGGGAGATTAAAGAAGGAAAAGAGTAATAAAGGGCTAAATTGTACTGGGGAGATGGCTCAGTCAGTAAAGTGCTAGTTACACAAAGACCTGAGTTCAGATCCTCAGTATCCATATAAAAAGCCAGACACGGTATCATGTGCTTGCAATTCCAGTGCCAGGGATGCAGAGACAAGATGCATCCTTACGGCTCACTGGCCAGCTAGCCTATAATCCCTGAGCCTCAGGCCCCAGTGAGAAACTCAAAAAAAAAAAAAAAAAAAAGCAAATTTACACACACATGCACCAGTATCTACACAAATACACACACGTGCACACACAGGCTAGACAGAACTGAAGTACAAAGTCATCAAAAATAAAATGTAATGATGCTGATATACGGGGTTGGCTCCCGTGCCCCTACCCTAGGTACTGAAGACTGAACCTGCTCATCTCCACTCCCCCATATGCCCAGCCCCAGACTGTAAAGCAATCTGCTGTTTATAGGACACGCACGCTCGGCATGACACACAGAAGCTCACTGAGTTACACTGATAGGCAATCAAACACCAGAGGGAGGTGGAAGAGTGTGGTAACAGTCTAAGAACGGAGTTGTGCAAGGGGAGTTCTGAGAGCTTGTGATAACAGTCCAAGAAAAAGAGAAGTTTTGTGGCCTCAGTTTCTTCAAAACACGAACTGTTCTTGAATTGCGCTTTCATGCCCCTTCCAGGCGTAGCAGAGAGGAGTGCATTTGCTTCAGATTATTCGTTACAAATGGCCATTGCTGTTTATTTGCATCCCCTATGGAAGACATGGCTCTCCCGTGTGCCTGCCCGCCACATGCATTTGCCTCATATACTGGAGGTCCAATGTTCACTGCCTAACACTGACAAAAATAAAAATAAAAAGAAGGGGAGTGTCAATTAAAAACCTGAAACTGCCGGGCTCTGAGACAAACCTAAAACTTTTCTGTTTATAAGCTGATCATCTCGGGCAACAAAAAGTTAACACAAGCCATGAAATAGAAATTGGGAACTTGTGAATAAGGCAAGAAACAGGCCCAGGGGCATATTTTGGAGCTAGAACTCTCTTAGGAAGTTAATAAGGAACGACTAAAATAATTCTGAGTAAGGATATGACATGGACTTACATGGTTAAATCTAGATCACAATTCTAGATCTGGAAGTATCAGAAGCTTAATGCGTTAGGTCAAAACAGAACAACAGGAGGGCTGGAGAAATGGCTCCACAGTTCAGAGCACTGGCTGCTTTTCCTGAGGACTCAAGTCTTATTCCTAGCTCACAACAGTTATAACTCTAGCTCTAGGTCAACTTGACACAAGCTAGAGTCACTTGAGAAGAGAGAGCCTCAACTAAGAAATTACCTCCATAAGATCAACCTGGAGCAAGACTAAAAGGCATTTTCTTAATAAGTGATTGACAGGGGAGGGCCAATCCCATGGTGAGTGGTGCCATTCCTGGGTCCATGGTCCTGGGTTCTATAAGAAGGCAGGCTAGGCAAGCAAGGGAAAGCAATCCAGTAAGCAGCACCCTCCATGGCCTCTGTATCCATTTCTGACTCCAGGTGCCTGCTCTGAGTTCCTGTCCTGGTTTTCTTCAGTCACGGACTGCTAATAAACCCTTTCCCCCACAAGTTTCATCACAGCAGTAACATCCCTACCTAAAACATCCTCTGACCTCTACATGCACACTGTGGAATGTGAGCAAGGGAATAAAGGAATGTAAAGTCCCAGAGACTCTTCAGAGTTTATAAATGAGGGAACTGGAGAAATGGCTCAGCAGTTAAGAGCACTGGCTCTCTTCCAGAGGACCCGGGTTCAATTCCCAACACCCACATGGCAGCTCACAACTGTCTATATAACTCCAGTGCCAGGAAATCTGACCCTCATGCCAATGCACATAAAAAATAATAATAATAAATTTTAATGAAGAAAAGAAACTTGCCTAAAGTTATACATATATAATGTTATATTCCTAAGGTCATTAAGCATGGGACCCAAGATCCAAATGAGGCATTCTAACTGCACAGCCTGTGTCTGAGGGGCAGATCCAGGAAACAATTATAGAGCCAGGCACGGGCAAACACCTATAATCCCAGCAGTTAAGAAGCTGAGACAGGAGGATGGTGAGTTCAAAGCCAGTGAGGATGACCCCTGGTGAAAAGGGATAAGACAGGAGCGGGATGGGAGAGACAGTGCACAGGCCTCAAGGAAGCTCAACTGCACTTTGTTTCTTTGGGGTGAGACAGAGGGAAGCACCTGCCTTAGATAACTAGCAATCTGGGCCAATTCCTCGTCAGTCCCGACAGTTATCAAGCCTAAACCTCTGAGCTGAGCCTAACTCTGCCTCCACTGACTCAGTCTCTACAGATTTAAACAGTGCTGAGAGTCGAAAAATTTTCTGAAACTTCACCTGTTACTTATATCGTAACAGGCAGAACTCTAGAATTCTTCAAGTACCTCGTGGACTATCCTAGTCTGGGCTTCTGCCTCCCATTTCCTGATTCAACCATGCAGTACCAATTTTGTAATTTTTTTAAGATAAAAAGGCTGTCCTTAATAACTCATGTTTCTCCTGCCTCACCTCTGAGCACCAGGATGGCAGGCGCATGCCCAGACCCAGCTTTGCAGTAGTACCCATAAAATGTTTTTAAAGGCTTATGCCAGGCGGTGGTGGCGCACGCCTTTAATCCCAGCACTCGGGAGGCAGAGGATCTCTGTGAGTCTGAGGCCAGCTTGATCTACAGAGTGAGTTCCAGTTTACAAAACTAATCCAGACCAATACTATAAAGGAATTTGAGATCCAACAAGTGTGAGGCGGTATCACATGGTCAAAGTCACACAGACACATAATTAAAAAAAAAAAAAAAACACTGGGAGCCACCCAATTCCTCCAGGCCATGTTCTGGGATTTTTTTTTTTAAATGTCACAATATAATTTTAAACAGAAGATTTTTAAGTGGATAGCAAAGTTCTTCCGTTTGGTTTTCCAATAGTTCTAATGCTTAGTTCTTTCTATTGCAAGCCTGGTATCTAGTAAAAAGATAATTTATGTAATGTATTAATTATTAACTACTTATCGCCACTGGCAAACTTATGGTAACAACAGTTACAGAAAGAGTTCCAAACAGCAGGCATGACTTAAAGTCACAGATACTCCATTCTGCCTTAATGATCTTGCTTTCTTAGTCAGGTGGTGGTGGTGGAGCATACCCTTTAATCCCAGCACTTGGAAAGCAGAGGCAGGAGGATCTCTGTGAGTTTGAGGTCAGCCTGGTCTATAGAATGAGTTCCAGGACAGCCAGGGCTACACAAAGAAACCCTGTCTAGGAGGAAGGAGGGATATACATTGATAGATAGATAGATAGATAGATAGATAGATAGATAGATAGATAGATAGATAGATAGAGATACATACACACACACACACACACACACACACACAACCCCACCCCCAGTATTGCACGCGTGGGAGCTCTGGACACTCACGCATTTCTATGAAGAGCTGTCTCTTCTCCGCCATGGTTTTCCTCTTGTTCCCACCTTCCTCAATCATCCTGGAGATGAAGAAAGACATAATGAGCCACGGTATGATAATGACGACTCAACCAAGTACTTATCATCAGCTGTGAGAGGTGCAGGAAACCACAGTGAACATTCTACAGCAGCATAAATACAGTGGGGCCTCCCACCGAAAGGTGAGCCATTCTCCCATCACCCAGCAGCTTATCAAAGACGCTGGGCAGTCAGTACTCACAGGGGCTGGCACGTTTAGTTCCTGGGCTGAAAACGTGGACTGCTTTTCTTTTCTATAGGGACTCATACTTTCATCCAGGCTGCTCCAGACCTCATAACAGAGCCCAGACTGACCTTAAATTCACAGCGATTCCCCCGCCCCAGCCTTGAGTGCTGGAATTACAGGCATACACCGTCCTGCCTGGCTAAGGGTGTCATTGTTTCAACTTGATTATTTTCTTTACAGAGCCCTGAGTATATTGAGACAGTTTCTTCTACCACCATATAGTATGTTACTAAATATGATTTCAGATACAACAGAATGAAAACCCACAGTAAAGAACATGAGAGTTTTTCATTTACACACGAAAGATAGACAAAATCTTCTGGTTTGGGTGAAACAATATTAAAAAGATATTCGTCTCCGAGCTAAGGAGCTCCTCAAAGGGACCTTCCTATCACACAGCAATAGCAGTCACTGCTGACTGACTTAGGCTGTGCCTCACATGTGTGGAACCAAGTGTCAATTCCCAGCTACCTGAGAGGCTGAGACAGGAGAATTTTTAGACAACATGGAAAGACTCGGTCTCAAAAACAAAAGCAACAGCATCACTTGCATTCCTCTAGGGTCAAAAATCCCACGTGCCTGCTTTATTAGTACTGCTGCTCCTGTTTCACAGATTAGGCAACAGATGCCGAGAAAGCTAACTTGCTAAAGGGCACTTAGATCAACACCAGTGTGATCGCAACCCTCTTGAACATAGTTCTCGTGTAATTGTTGTTTACAGATATCTGGATCTCTGAAGTCTAAAAAGCTAGAACACCACCCATTATACAGACCGGCTTGTGCCAAGTTCTCCTAAACATAAACCAGATAACTACCCTGAGTAGATTAAACTGCTATAAATCACTCTCAAGTATGATTAAACTGTTATACATTAAACTAGTACAAACCATTCTCAAATATCTTATGATCACAAACTAAGCGACAACTATATAAGCTGCATATTCACGAAAACAAGTTGCCTGCCTGGTTATAGCCAAGTTTAGTTATACCCTAAAGAGACTTTTAAATGTAAACATATTCCTTAACATCCCATAAATAAGATTTTGGTCAAGAATGACCCTATCCCAGGTCCTGGAAATGTTATCGGGGATGTTTCAACACAGGCCATGGTTACAATTTACCCCAAATCAAAGGAATTCTGAACAGAATTCTTTTTTTTTTCAACCAGACCAAGATGTGACTGAACAGAATTCTAAACAGAAAGTTAAGTCAAAGAAAAGGGAGCCAGAAACAGAAAAACAATCTAATAAAATCTAGGACTTAAAGAAAAAACAGGAGTTGGTTCCAGTAGCCTGTAATTACAGAGGGAAGCAGCCACTCAAAAGCTTGAGACTCCCTTCTCCCAGACTCGGTCTCTCACAAAGGCAACTGCTAATACAGATGCAACAGAATAACCACCATGTCCTGCATGATGTCTTTCACAAGCCATACCCTCTATCTGCTTTAGTATTCCTTTACTTCACTTTTCTCAAAGCAGAAAAAGCAAATTCCTAGAGATGGCTCAGCCATCTTAAAGCCAGTTTTCTAAAATTTCGTTTTTATTTCCAGATTAATCTTGGGACACAATCTATACCGGGGGTCATCTAGATGGCCCCACTGCCAGGCAATTTCAGCACCCACCACCGCATGTAAAACTGCTAGTGGCTGGCAGCTGGCGAACTGCAGGACTGCACAGGACTACACTTTCCTGGGCAAGTCAGACCTGCCATCTGCTTCTGCACCACAGCCACGCTAGCCAGTTCTGTTTCCTTTTGCATTTTAGAAGAGAGTATGAGGGCTAGACAAGGTCTCATGTAGTCCAGGTTAGCCTCAAACTTGCTATACAACTGAGGAAAGCCTTGAACTCCTAATCCTCACTGCCCACCTCCTAAATGGTGGGATTACAGGCATGTGGTTTCGTTTTTGTTGTTTTGGGTTTTTTGAGACAAGGTTTCTCTGTAGCTTTGGTGCCTGTCCTGGTACTAGCTCTTGTAGACCAGGCTGGCCTCGAACTCAGAAATCCGCCTGCCTTTGCCTCCCAAGTGCTAGGATTAAAGGCGTGCACCACCACCGCTCGGCCAGACATATGTTTTTATACCTGGCTTCATCACTTTATTATCTATGGCAGAATTTCTGTATTCATACAACAATGGCAGACTACAGTGCAGGGTACAGAGAACTTGTGGCCTGAAAAATCTAAAGTAAAATTTACTACCTGGCCCTAAGGAAAAGTTTGCCAATCTTATTTATAGCAATAATAATTAACACTGAATGATTAACATGACCATTAGGCTAGTATGTGCCCATTGTCAAAATAAAAACAACCATACCATGGCCTTTACTTCAGTTCCATTACTGAACGTCCATCCTTGGTTAATCACCCTAAGATGCATTCCTTGTTGCTAAAATGGCATAAAAATCACAGACATTTCACCAAGTATTATGGTTTATATGTGAATGTCCTGCAGAGGTTTATGCGTCTGAACACTTTGTCCCCAGCTGGTGGCACTGTCTGTGGAACTTTGATACTGGCCTAGCTAGTAGAAGGAGTTATCTGCACATCTCTCTGCTTCCCATCTGCAAATACAATGTGACCACCTGCCTCAGGCTCCAGTAGTCACTGTGGACTGGACCCTCAAATTGTGGTTCAAAATAAACCCTTTCTTATATTGCTTTAGTCAGGCATTTTTGAATCATCAACAAGACAAGTAATTAATACATCCAGCTTTTGTTTTTGTATACTTGTTTTCAAAATAAAGAGGGGGGGGGACCTCAAAGGGAAGAGAAGTGGAAAGAAGAAAAGATGAAAACCCACTATGAAAATGCTTCAATAATTTACATTCCATTGTAGAAGTAAACAGTATACTTCAGAGGGTTGAAAGGGAATGGGGCAGGAGCTGAAGATATGGCTAAATGGGGAGCCTGCTTGCTGCAGAAATATAAGGACCTAAGTTTAGATTCCAAGAACCCGCGTAAAATAAGCCAGGTGTGGTGGTGTGTACCTGTAATCCCCAGTGCTGGGGCTGGGGGGTGGAAGAAGCTGATCTCAGCAACTCAGTAGCCAGCCAATCTAGCCAATCAGTGAGCTCCGGGCTCAGTGAGGGACCCAGTCTCAAAAAATAACAGGACCAGTAATAGAGTAAGACACCTAGCATCAATCTTGTAGAAGCACCAAGGTAGCACATGCATATACAACATCCGCTAACACACACACACACACATACTGAATGATGTGGCTAAGATCAATTTATGAAAAGACACTGGAGACATGTCAATCAGAAACAAGTAAACAGTAACAATGCAATAGATGTCCATCCCTTCCCCAGGTGGCTCAGTTACTTTCCTATTGCTGGGAACTGGCTATCTTGTAACAGCTGCACTTTTCCCTGGAGGGCTCCCTCCAAGCTGGCTGGACATTCTCTAGCCAAGAAACCTGCAAAGTTACTCACTCCCATAGGGCAGTAGACAGTTGCAGCAGATGACAGATAAGTCCTAAACACCCAGCCCAAGAGAGTTCTGGATCCTGGAATTTGGGGTAAATCTATACCCACCTCAGCCACTGAGCACAACTACTAAGCCCAAACAGATGCACGCGGAGTCACTGAGGACACACAGGAAATAAGCCTGAGCAGCTGGACTAAAGTGACCACCCAAGAAGGCATGTTTACCCCTTTTCTCACATAGCCCCAGGCCTGAACTCCAAACTGCCGGACTCCCCACACAGTGCCTTGTAGCACATGCTGAAAAAAAACACTCAGGAAAGCCCTCTGGTTTGCTTGCAGAAAAAGCTAAAGCAAAACGAAGAAAGCCCCCAGCTTCTTTTCCTCTCCTCCTTCACTCCCTCTTACCCCAGCTCCCAGGCAATCTCATACTGAAGGCAACAGAAGCAGAAAAGGCAGCTGCCATGGAAAACCACAGGAGTTAAAACTGCCAGGGGAAAAGGAAATGAAAAATAAGAGAGAAATAAGCCTGTCTTTGTTCACCTTGACATGATGATCTATGCAGAACACCCAACAGAACTACCAAACTCTGCTAACTAATAAGCGATTTCAGCAAGAGTCGTGGATACATGATCAGTACACAAAAAAACTATCCGTTTCCTATGAGCAGCAAGAAAGAAACTAGAATATGAAATTAATAACCATTACATAAAAATGAATAATAAAATTTTTAATTTTATTAAAAAATAAAAATAGAGGTACTGGAGAGATGGCTCAGGTTACAGGAGCACTTGTTGCTCTTGCAGAGGACCCAAGTTTGATGGTGGCTCACAACTAACTCCAATTCGAGGGCATTCGATGCCTTCTTCTGACTTCCACGAGCACCAAGCACATATGCACATATATGCATGCACATGTGGTGCACATATAAAATTAAAAATGAATAAAGCTAGTAAAATAAGTTTTAAATATACCACTTATGCTATCATCCCTCAAAAAATACAAATACTTCCTGCAAATATAGCAAAACATGTACTAAATCAATGTGAAGAAACCCATAAAACTGGTGAAAAAAAATCAACATAAAACTAAACAAATGATTTAGACTCCAAGTTCATAAATAAGAAGAATAGACACCAGCACCCACACGGCATCTCACAACTGTCTGTAACTCTAGTTTCAGGAGTTCCACCTTCACACAGACATACATGCAGGTAAAACACCAATGCCCATAAAATAAAAATTTTATAAATTAAAATTTAGTAAATAAATCATTAAAAAGAAGAGGAGGCAAGCACACTTCTTAGCTGGAACAGAGAAGTACTATGCCTGCTTT